CTAGTAATATTGATAAATAATAACATAACGATATGTGTGAATAATCGACTTAATCAAAAAAAAAATATCAGTCATTAAAAGTATTCCGAGTGGATTTATTACACATAATTGAAAACAAACGAACACGTTAACTCGGAGTATTTTCTAAAAGCAAATTTTCAAAAATCAATCATTTTTATAATTGAACCAGTTTCCTTGGGACTTCAATGGTTTAGTATGTTCATAAAGACCAAGTACTCTAATTTTATACCAAGTAAATCATCTAATTTTAACAAACGTCAAAAAACTACTCATTTTCTCAAACTTTGATGAATTTTTAAAATTAAACTTCTTGTCGTAAGGCCGTAATATTTCAGTGAGCTCTATAAGACTATGACATATATCGCCAAAAAAAGTTCCATAAAAATCGTTAAATTTTATTTTCAACAATTACAAAAAAACTCCCTGGTAGGTTTTCACCTAAAACTAATCAGTATCATTCCCAACTAATATCTTTTGAACAGTTTTTGATTTTTAACTTCCCGTAGGATAGTTTTATAGTATTGGGCCGAAAATCGAAAATATTTTTTTTTACATTTGTCGACGTTTTGAAGGTTTCTGAACATTTTGGCATACCTCAGAAAAAATGGATGTGTATGTGCGTGTGTTTTGTATGCCCACATTTTTTGGTTCACGTTTTCGGGCGCACGGATCAACCGATTTGAATGGTTCAAAAAACATTCGATTCATAGTGATAAGGAGATGTGCTGATTAGTTTTTGGCAAAGGCAGGTCCAGCCGTTATGGAGATACGGAACAAAGAGTTCAGAAAATATAAATCGAGTTTTTGAGAAAACGGAGTATCCGTTTCGAATGATTTAAAAAACATTCAATTTGTAATGAATTTAATTAATTATAATAATATAATAACATTTAATTTGTAGATTGGGAGAAGAGGTGATTAGTTTTTAGCAAAGGCAGGTCTAGCCATTTCGAAGATACAGAGCTAAATGTGCAAAAAATGACAGTTTTTGAAAGAACTAAGCGTCCGAAAAAAAACATACTAATTTTTGCAAACTTTGACGAATTTTTAAAATTAAACGACCTGTCGTAGTATGATCTATAAGACTATGGTATCTACCGTCAAAGAAAACATCATAAAAATCGACGAAAAACATTCTTTTAACACTTTATTACAAGAAAACGGCCCGGCCGATCTTAACCAAAAACTAATCAGCACGATTCCCAACCAATATCTTTCGAACGGTTTTTGAACTTTCAAAATCAATTCAGAATTAGGGGCTAAAACGTGGACGAAACTTTTTTCCATTTTTCTGCAATTTGCAAAGAAACGGTTTGGCCGATCGTAGCGCAAACCTGACAAACGATAGTTCTCATTAAGATACATCGAATGACTTTTAAATTTTTGAAATCGGTCCAGCCGTTTTTTGAGAAAACGTCGATTTACGGCAAAAAATCTGTTCACGCACACGCACACACACTTTTTCCAAATTTGGTCTCATTCGATTCAGAATAGCTTGAAACGTCGAGAAAACAAAATTAGCGAATCGGATTTTTTGATAAAAACAAACTTCTCCTTTGTTAATAATAAGAAATGTGTGATCTATCGCACAATATTTCTCTTGATACATACGAGGTGTGTTCAAAAAGTACCCGGAATTACTAATAATTAAATTTCGCGGGTCTGGAGTGTCTGATTGTCAAAATTTTTTTTTATTGTGTTGGTATACATGCCCCTAAAGTATGATGAAATTTTCAGCTATATTCACTGTTTACTTTGTCTGTGGTAGTCGCTAAGGTTCGACGTGTTTTTCTGAGCTCGGCGATTTTTACAATGGAAGAATTGAAAAGTCAAAGAATTTGTATTAAATTTTGCGTAAAAAATGAAATAAAGTGTTGCAAAGTGCAAAAATTCACCAGATATGGCTCCGTGTGACTTTTTCCTATTCCCAAAGTTGAAGAGACCCATGAAAGGACGGCGGTTTTCCTCGATTGAAGAAAATCGCTGAGAGTGCTCAAGGACATATCAAAAAGTGAATATCAAGGGTGCTTCGAAAATTGGAAAAAACGCTGGCATAAGTGTATTATATCTGGGGGGGGACTACTTTGAAGGGGACCACATTAATGTAGACGAATAAATAAATATTTTTTTGAAAAAACGAAAATTCGTATATAATGCATAAAATTTAACATTACATCCCTGAACTTCCTTTAATATGCAAAAAAAAACGAAATTAACATAAATTTTACGAATGTGACATTGATCTAAGCAATTTTAATTATATTTAAAATTAAAATATTACAAGTTGTACAAAAAAACAGTTATATTTAGTAGCAAATGAACCGGTTTCATTATTTAGACAAAATACTGGTTTTTGAATAAAAAAGTGACACGAGAACTTTGACATGTTCCAAAAAGTCTAAATTAATGTGCTCAAAGTTATATTTAATAAAGTTTAAATCCAAATATAAAACCGTTTGAAATTTAAAATATCATTTAAAACAATAGAATCTACTAAAAATGTCTTAAATCTCTATTTAGAAAATATTTATCACTTTTCATACTTATTGTTATTAAATCAAAATATATTTCCAAGTGAAAATAGCCCTTAAAAAAATCACCATTGGAAAAAGTTCAAGCAACCTTTTAATATTAAATAAATAAGAAAAACAATGGATTGTCTTCTGAAAAGCCACTTGGCTGAGCATTATTACCACAATAGAACTCGAAAATAAGTTTCTAAAACAACATATACAATTTAAATATACAATAAAAAAAATTTATGAACCATTTTTTTATATCATAATTGCAGACTTTTAGTAAGAACTTTATTTTTAGATTATATGTATTACCTTTTTTATCTACGATATTTTATTTTATATTTTTCGATCTCATACTTTTCGCTTTTGAGCATTGTATAAAATTCTATTCCACTTACTTCATGATAAATTAAAAAAATAGCAGTTCGGTTTTCATAATTTTTGATAATTTACCTATAAATTTTCGAAATACCAGTACAATCCGGTATCAGATCTAAATCGCTTTTAGAAAAACCCGGGACACAAGGTGCAAATCTGGGCCTGCCCCCGACCAAACTGCGACTTATGCTCACCTTACAAAAAGCTGCTTATAAATTATTATAATGCCTTAGATGGAGTTATACCCTTTATCAACTGTTGCTATTTAAATTCAGTACATAACTATGATGTGTAACAATCGTATATCCTTGCCATCCCTTATTTTCTTCAGCCCTTTGGTTATATTTTGTAAATATACAAAAAGCAAAAAATGCAATCTCAACATAGATAACTGTACAGTCACTATTAAAGTTTGTATAGTTAAAATTTCAAACGTTAAAATAATCCTAGATATATTGACATGAGTAATCATTAAAACATAAAACTAAAATAATATCACAAAATAGCAATAATATCAAAAAATTTCATATTTTATTCTGCCAGTAAGATTTTTCAAAAAAAAATCGCTCGAAAGCTCGTATCTCAAAGTTTGCTCGTATGTCGAAGCTCGCCTTTGGCGGCATATGTGCAATTTAATATATTCGAAACCAACTATAGGTACTAAATATTCTAAATAAAAAGTAACATGAAAACTTGTATACTTGAATTAATTTGTCAAAATCAACTATAACCAAGATCAACGTATCAGTGCAAATTGGCGATCAAAAAGCGTATATACTCACCAATTATTTATTTCAATTATAGTAGAATTATACCAATATTAATTTTATGTTATATGATGGGCCAATTAATCTTCCATCAAAACAATCACAAACTGTTATTCAACATGCTCATCAACTTGAAAATTGCTATGAAATTTATAACAAATTTTAACAGATTTAATACTATTTAATGTTTCTACTTTTGTATTGTAATACAATCTTATTTGCTTATCGGATATGAATATAACTAATGGTATTTCATCAACTAGATGAAACCAGCAATCGAGAGGAAACAATTTGAGGCAAGTATTTTAATAACCTCAATCTATTGTCTTTTAAAAAAACTTTATTTATCCAATATGCGACTTTACCAGAAGATATATTGCATATCAGTAGTGCAATAATCATGGATAAAAGTTCCTATGAAGAAAAACTTGGATAGAGAAACATCTGTGCAAGTATTCAGATAAATTCTTCAAAAAAACAATAACAACTCATAATTTGCAAGTAAAAATTTTACTTTATCTGTTTAATAATTTTATTTTTGAATTGTGTTCTCAAAATTGTGCAATGTGCAATGGAAAAAGTGTCGGCAGTTCTTTCAAGCACGAACAAATTTTTGGAAAAAATGAGTAATGTTCTATTACTGAACATCAATAGAAATCATTTAACTGGTTTTATTACAATAAAAGCTTTTTATTCCGATATTAGTACTGGAAGTAAACCAAAGTTATTAATATATATATTCCTTTAGTACATTTTTGGTATATCGTGCTTGATAATATGTTACAAAATGAAATTAAATCATCACACTATATATTATGTTAGTAAAAACAACGAAAAATGAGCCAGTAAAACAAAGGATCATTTAAAGGTAATATATCTCTCCAGATTTTAAATTCAAACAAACTCGACAAACAAATTTTTAATAAACAAAGAATTATTAATATTACTTGATGTATTCAATACATTGATAGTTTTGTCAATATTTACCTAACTTAATTTAGAAAAGCAAAACAATGCCAGCAAAAAAAATTCATTTCACTTCATTTTTAAAGATATTAAATCTTAAAATCTCTTTAAGATTATCTTAGCTACTTTTATTTATAAATCATCAACTTACAAATTATTACTGGTTAATATTTTACGGACCCGTTCTTTATCCTAATTAATTTATTCTTGAGAAAAATAAACCATTATTTAATATTGAAGAAAAAATATTGGATCAAAGATATCTGTTATGTTTATGTTTTACATTGATTTACTTTTTGTTTTTATCACTAAACTATATGAAAATGTCAAAAAGAATATAATAGTTTACCTTTAAGTTGTGGCAGTTGTTGTAATTCGACATCCTGTGAATTTCTATATCGGGATGATCCCTGAGACTTTTTACTTTTTTTCTTAAGTGATCTCTTTGCAAATGGGTCTATTCGATCCACAAATGTACCCGACATCTTCACTAAATTGTAAATACTCAATAGGTGCGATGAAGAATATCAGAAACAGAAAATAAACAATATCACTTCTTCATAGTCATTGGTATAAATACTTAACTTTACAATTATATATTTCAATATCCATGCATTGGTTTGGTGTTTGATTAAAAAAATTTGGCACTGAAGAATTTAGATTCACATGTACTTATTTATATTTTAAAATGACTATTGGTCCACGAAATAATAATGGATGTAGTAGAAAAATGTTTGCACTTTTGATTAAATTCACTTATATTTCACCACAGTTGATAGGTTAGGTAGATGCTGGACAAATTCAGTGACACCAACTGCAAATAGAGAGCAATTAGTGTTATATTCAATATTGCATAATATGATTTCGGATCATTGTACAACAATAATATTTCAATGGCCTTATAAAATGAGCCTTAATTTCATGTGTTAATAAGACAGCCCGAAAATGCAATACGAATGCGACATCTATTCCTAGAGTTTGACATTCCTTATACTAATACAGACACATAAGTAGAAAAGTAATAAAAAATACTACATCGATGATTCGTTGTATTACATCAGTTATTTATGATGATATTTTTAAGACAAATTCAAAGAAATCGCTCCACATAGGCGTGCCGCCACCGCATTTACAATGTCAATCGTGGCTTTGCATTTTGACTGGCCGCTTGAATACGAAAAAATACACCCAAAAATAATTTCATCTCACCTTTGAAACGATTCATTTATCCAATTAAACACTAATGCTAGAGAATACTTTTATTTCACAGCGAATGTAAATATGATAATTTAAATTAAATTAAAAACTCTTTTGGTTGGCGACGAGAAAGCCTGAGGTACGTACATTGGGCCGTCAAGTACGAGGCCCATTCAATACTTTTCATTTTTACAGACACCATTTAACGGTAAAAGAGGAAAATGATCACATTCATATCCTAATAACTACGAGTCACTGAAATAATATTACAAATACACTTATTTGACAGTTCTTTACTTAAAGCAAGTAATTTAATTCAACCAACACACTACTAAACCGAGTAAGAATTTTTCGATTGGACGAGACCAGGGGAGACTGAGATAGGATTGCCGCACACGGAAAGTACCTATGGCTGAAAATAGATGGACACTAGAAAACATCACAGTCACAGATAGGCTTATTATTAATTTTAGTTGTTCTATTGATTAAAATTATAATTATTGATTCAAGTGATTAATATAGTCAAGTATAAAGGATACAAAACCTAATATCGTATTATAATTTTTTGTATTGAAACTATAATTGTGCTAAACTCATTTGACCTAAAATAGAAATAAAATGGCGGCATATACAAATATTTGTCTTTAACTTTGCTTAAATTCATAAAATAAGATATTTATAATTTGGCTATTTATTTACTTTCCGAAGGAGAAATTCTCTGAAATAAACTATCCTTTTTATTCTAAAGAAACGATTCGACAGATTGTTTTGCAAAATAATGAGCGCCTTATCAAGTTTCAACCAAAGGCTTTTAAAATTTCGAAATTGATGCAGCCGTTTATCGGGAAAAGGTCGACCAAGGATCAAATTTTGGCTAACATATTATTTACAATTTTGATGTCAAACTAAAAAATAATATAATATTATCAAATTGGCTTTTCTTGCAAGAACAAACTACGTATAGTTTACAAGTACTCATTCAGTATCAGTACTTCAATGACTTTAAGCAGAATCGTCCATTTACTATTATTACAATGTTATTGTATTTTGCAATACTTATTACAATTTTATTATCTTTTGCAATACGTACAGAACATCGAACAAATTTAAATAGGTAAGAAATAAATTGAAAAAAAGAATGCAAACATCTGTTACACAAACCTACATTAAATTTAGACTAATCAAACTAAGGCATGATCAGACACCAGAACAAGCTTGATGTCTTTCTGTTGTAGATTAATAAAAAATATGTAATTGACATTCTAGATATCATGAACCTTGCTTAGTCATATCGAAACAAATTACATGGAATGTAATGTGACCAGTGTAATTTTTAGTCAAAATTTGTTGTTGTTCTTTTGCTTTCTTTCCCACGTAATTTATGTTTTTTTTTAAATCAAATCATTTTTGAATTAATTTAATTTCACTCACTCAATCACTAAAAAGTTCATAAAGTGATGAGAAAAGTATAGCAAGGCTTAAGTATATCAATAAAGTATCATTGAAATTAAGTTCAAATGAGAAGCTTAAATTCTGATATACTTTAATTCTACTTTTAGCCTGTATTATTGTTTTAAGAATAGTAAATCTTATTACAAATTTTATACAAAACATTTAATAAAATACATAACATTCAAGACAAAATTTTAATTCACTCTGTTAGTACATAATGATATAATAAAAACTGTTTCGATTTATATTTTGCTACTTGCCAACAATTTCAAATAGTGTATAATAAAGGTGCTTAAAAATCTTAGACTATCATTTTATATTTCTAATATGATTCAAAAAATTCATATGAAACATTATTTAAATAATTTATGTAATAAAATTAATAATAGAAATTACCAACAAGTTGCTCTGCAGTGCTAATAAAAATATCAATAATAACTAAAACATACCAGTAAATACGTTTCCATATTCATACCATTCATTTAATTTAATTTAAATTTGAAATAATTTAGTTTTTATAGCTTTATATTACTTGATAAAATATTAAAACCCAAAAAAATAAACTGTAATAAAAAACATTAATATCGAATGATGAGTTGATGCATGATTTAATAAGAGGACTATAATTTACATTTTATTTTCTTGATTATGCAAGAAAACAAGTTTAAATAGAATATATCACAAGTTATTATTTTAAATAAGAAAATAAAATTAAAAATTGAATTACTAAAATGTCTGATGAGAAACTACACTAAAGGTTGGAAATCAGTATTCAGTAAGCAAATTTTTGTTACCCCTCCATCCCTCATTTCTTTAATACGCTTTACATGACGTAACATTGCAAAAAAATTATTTGTCTGTTTATCAAGAAGTTTTAAACCTAAGTCACTGGCCGTAATGAATATTAAGTGCTTATCAGTTGTCGCCTGCAATCTTTTATATTCAAGATACAATTTTAGTTTGTCTTTCGAGACTTGATTTCTTGGTAGCTTTATCAAAGTGTATTTATCATAAACTGCCTCATTGATTCTTTTGATGAATTTGTTAAGTGCTTCCACATTCTGTCTGCCTCGCATGTACTCTGAAAATTTAAATAATCAATTAATTTTAGGAATGTGTAGAAATTTTTAATTTGTTCAGATTAGAAATTTTGCTTAGTATACTTAGTAATAATAAAAATAATGATAATGATAAAATTCAACTCCCAATTCTTGTTTTTTCAATACTTCAAAATTATGAGAGAAATAAATATTAAATAAATTTTTTCAACATTCAAGGGGATTAAGAAAAAAGAAACAAATTACTAAAATATATGTTGATACCCAGTAAACCACAAAACGTCATTTATAAATTTATAAATTGAGTGTTAAACATTCAGCAAAGGAGATAAATTGTTATGAGGAAGATTTAAACTCAAATTTTATTTGAAAACTGAATGTAAGAATTCTATAAATAAAAAAAAAAAAACTCACCAGAATCCAAGTAATATTATTGTAACATTTTGTATATATAAGTTTGAGAATTTAACATTTTAAAACTAAATTGTTTATTATGACTTTATATAATAAACAATTTAGATTTTATTAAATAAAATTAATTAATTTTATTTAACATATAAAAATGATAGCATATGTATGTGTTTCTGTTTATGTGTTTTAAAAATTATGTTCGTGTTTGCTTATTTGAATAAACTATGTGTTATTTGTTTGCTTCAAATTATTATTGATTAATCTCTTTACATAAATATCTTTTTTTTGCTTGGGATCCTATAACAATTGTTATATACACAAAATATACACTTTACTAATCAAACTGACAAATTAGTAAATTTGTAATTGTAAAAACTATATCTTGGCTAGGACCCAAAAACTGTTCTTACGTGTTTTTAATCAAAATCAACATAATATTTCCAAGAGTTGTATAAAATTAAAATAATAATGATCTTTGTATTGCATTCAAGTTCGAGCTATATTATTTATTAAATTAAATAAATAAATATAATATTTTTAAGCTGCCTTTATTTATTATATATATATATATATATATATATATATATATATATATATATATATATATATATATTATAAAAATAACATGCACGGCAATTTTTTTTCAAAAACTTACGTGGGATTGAGTCAAACTCTTCAGGTTCAATGAAAGAAATTTCAGGTACTCCATCAAAGGAAATTTTTCTGCTTACTGGTGTAAGTACAGGAAGATTACTTTGATTTATAGGACTCAATTCAAAATTGTGTCTATTTTCTCCCATCGACAAGTAATTTAAGTTTGGAGTATCACTAATATTGGCACAGGATGAATTAATTTCAATAACCACAGGTTTCGAACGTCTCAACTGATCAAGACTTTTTCTATTTTCTTGTAGTATTTTCAGCTTATCACGTAGTTGTTCTTGTATGCTGACATTGTCGTGTGCTAATTGTTTTATCTCCTCAATAGTACGTTGAAAATCCCTCAATTTAATTTCGAAATCACGTTTATACTGTTCTGAGCAACTAGATAATTTTATTGATAATTCAATGAGTTCTAATTTTTTTCTAAGAGGCTGATATATTTGAACTAATTCAGACATTTTAATAAATTATTTTTATAAAGTATATCGGTGTTTAATTGATTTGTAATAACATTTATTTTGAGCAAAGTAATTTAGAAACCAGCACTGTAATAAACTAAACCGAATGTGACCGAAAGATAGCTATTGCAAAATTTTGTTTTTCTTTTTTTTTCACTTTAAGGATCACTTTTGATTTACAAATTTATCTGAGTTGTCAAAATATAAATAATCAAATGAAGTGTCAGCTCAACCGCAAAAATCGTAAATGAAGTTAGGGATGTATTAACATAAATAAAAAGCGCGCAATTTAAATGCTGGTACTAATAAAAAATCATTTGATTTCAATTAATCCAACAATAATAAATTTAATTTCATCCAGTTTTCACAAATTTATTTCCAAATAACAAAATATAAAATTAAAGACATCACAAAGCCTTAAACTAAGTTTATGAAAACTCCAATATGATTTGATTTTTTTCCAACAATTCTAAAATAATAATTCAGTAGTTGGCAGTAGTATTAAAAGTTATAATGCAGTGTAGCATTAAGTTATAACACTTTCCTCTGATATAATCTATATCCTTATAAAATTTTATAGTCACAGTATAGCATGTTTATATTGAACTCTTTTTATAGAATAGCTTGTAATTTAATTAACTTATTATTAAAATAATTTTGATACACAAGTAAATTGGAAACAGTTGTCTTTTATTCATTATTTAATATTTGTATTACCTACATTTATAAATATAAATTATTCTTTGTCTCTACCTGCTCAAACATTCTGTACACGCACAACACAATACAACAATAAATTAAAAATAAATCACTGGTGCTTATTAATTCTTTATGCTTATTATTATTTGTATACCACTCAAAAATTAACATGCACTGCCTTGATGTCCATGGGGCAAAATCTTAATGGAGAGAAAGCACTTTTAGCTTCGCTTAATGTTTTCAAAAATGTAATAGTCGTTTCGACATAAGATTTTGGTCTTCGAACATTAAACAATGTTGAAAAATTCATCTATAAAACAAAAATTATTATGAGATTACAATGCTATTTATTACTATTATTTCAAAATTGACTCGAAATTTATTAATTAAATATATTATACTATTATTTTGTATGAATGTAGTTGAATGATCTTCAATATCCCAATGGCGCATATGGGACTTAAACAAAAAAGAAACGATTTTAACAAGTTCCTACAGCTCTTCTCACTATCAATATTTTAGTAATTGCATAATAGCTGAACTTTAATAGCAATAATATGATTATGTTTAGTATAATATGATTATGTGAAGTATTCTCACCATTGAATCATCATCATTTTGTTGTCTTATACAGGAGTCGTGTTGAGGTTTATGCATTAGAACTCCAATTGTTGTAGCAGAAGGTGTATTTTCTTCTACTAATACTGATGCAAGGAATACATCTGTAGGTAGTTTGCCCGGAGGTAATGAATCTGATGGATTTTTGGTTATTGAAGACTCTCTTAACATATGTTCAGGCCAACCATCCTAATTAATTAAAAAATATATATTAGATGAAAGCTAAGTGAGATAAATATGAAAATATTATTTACAGTTATAATGAAAATGTGATATAGATAACAATGTAACAAAAGAACAAAGAATATATCAAAAACTAATCACCAATTGATATCTTTTCAATGAATTTAAAATTTTCAAAATCAGTTCAGGATTTTTGACAAAAATTTTGCACATTTTTTCTAATTATAAAAAACGGCTCGACGGATCATCGCGCAAAAATAATCAACGCGAAATCTTATGAAGATTTGATGAAACTCCATAATTTTTTAAACCTGCTCCAATTTTGGTGTCAAACGATTCCGAAAACTCGAAACGTCGTAAAAAATAAAATTAGCAAATCAGACAAAAACACTCTTCGGGAAGTTTATAATAATAAATATAAAAATAAACTTTGAGAACAATTTAAAACCTTCCATTTCTATTAAGCTCTAATATAATTTAAATCACTATTTACTCAATTTATAAAATATGTCATTTATTAGTGTATTTAAATTTTAAAAAATCCTAATACCTGTGAATACAACATTTTGTCAATTGGATAGTGCATTAAGTCTCTCTGCAATAATGCTTCCTTAGACAAATATCCAGCGGATTTGCTGGTTCTTCGTCGTGCTGCTCTCACTGCTTCCACTTCTCACTTGTTTCTAAGATCAATTTAAAATGATTTAAGACTGGTTTATTATCCAGTACTCCTGATCTAACCTCTATTATCATCTTGATTCAAACGTCTGTCTTGCATTATCTGTAACAGAATTTAAATGCCGCATTCATTAAATAGCTTCATAAACTCTCACTTTGGATTGCTACAGTTTGTGATTATTTGAAAAATTTTTGTAAATAGAAATATAACTTTATTTGAATCTTGCTTCAGAAATTAATTTTAACAACCGTTTTTTTTTATTTTGGTAGAAACACTTAATACCATCAATTATGATAAAAATACTACTAGTTATGACAACATGACTAAAACCCTAAAAGCATAACATAAAAAAAAAAAATATATGATCAGTGAATGCAAAGCCAGGGCTGGCAGAGGGATTGGAACAACAGTATAAAAAATATATATAAAATTTTAATTTTGTGTATTTTATCTAGTTCGTACTTGTTAACTTGCTAAATGATGACACATATACAGTGTCCAAAGATACATAATAAATGGTTAAATCATCAATTGCTTTTCATAACAACTATTTGGTTGCAAATAAACTTTTTAAGAATATATATATATATATATATATATATATATATATATATATATACTTGATTACATGATAATGTACTTTATTTGAATTATAGCAAAACAAATTATTAACTTTTACCTCTAAAGTGCCAGATCGAGGTGATGTTCCTCCTAAAGGTTGTCCAGATATCAATGTCATCCTTCTAGTTTCATCCTGAAGAAACATGGCGGATGGTACAGGATAATAATTTGCTTGCAAAGGTAATTTATCAAAACGCTTTCTTCTAATCATCTACAATTTTTAACAGTAATTAAATGATAATGTTCAAACACTATTTCAAATTCATAATAAAATTTACTATTAAAAACAATGTCTACTATATTTTGTTTAAAAAGTAATACTTCTTTATTTAAGTAAAGTTATTAATATATTTACCTGCAAACCATTCAAATCAGTAAAGAATTCATCTTTGTTTGAAATGTCGGTAGCAATTCTCATAGCTAATTCCGCATTATGGGTATTAGCAAACACCAAGTGTTCGTATTTCCAATATTGTAGATTCTTCATTTCTAGGTCAGAAGACTGAATTGTCCTCATTATTGTTTCATGCAATACATAAGGTAAATTGACCTGCATATATATTATTTTACATAAGAAACTATTTTATATTAAACTCTTTTTTTTCATTTCAGTGTGTAATATAAGTTTACATACCATAATTATTAAAACATGATTTTATGCATTTATGATTGTGAACTTTTCATTATGAGTAAAAAGATAAACTAAAGTAAAAAAGTTGATGATATTTTGGATTTATTCCAAGTAAAACACACTATTGCTTTTTACTTAAATTAGTTTGATTATATTTTTAAAGTGTTATATCATAAAAATAAATATGTTACAATGAAAACTTCATAAAACCTAATGGTCTAATGAGAATGTTAATGTGATAATTTACCTGAACTCTAGATTCTAACGGTCCTTTAATAATAACCACAACGGATTTTGAATCAAGTGAATTTTGTACGGTCTGGGCAGGCAAATCAGGTAGAAACAGATATGCTCCACTTCTCTCACCTCCTTTTCTAGCGCCATATCTACCAGTTTAATATATAGACTTTATATAATATTACTAATTTCCTTATTAGTTATTAAATTTCTAATACAAGTTTTCTAGTTCACATCACATCCAAATTTCTCATCGACATCAAAACATCCAAAAAATGATGTCACAAGACATATACTAATCATTCTTTCTCCCTAGTCCATATTAAATATTGTATATGTAAGCAATAAATTTCCTATTGAGCTGATCTTCGTAAATTAGGTAAATGAAAGCTATCATTCAGCATAACTAATATAATCTAATATAATTATATTAATAATAAATATAATAATATTAATAAATATAATTATAATCAGAATAGACATCAAAATAATATTTTTACTAAAAACAAAGTATGAGAGGCAATAAAAATCTCACATTAAACTTCGTGGAATGGATCTCTCTGGGAAAATCATTTCAATATTAGATACATATAGATAATAATATATATAGATATATAGATAGAGATATAGATATATAGGATATATAGATATATATTATATATATATTATATATAGGATATATATATGATATATTATATATATGATATATATATCTATATATATATATAATATGTGTGTGTGTATTATATATATATATATATATATATATATATATATATATATATATATATATATTGATACATTATTAATCATGTAGCGAGACTACATAACTTTCTGTTTTAACTTTTAAATATTTTACTTTATTAACTTCCCGAAGGAGAAGTTTATGTTTTCATAAAAAATACGATTCGCTAATTTTATGTTTTCTCGACGTTTCAAGTCATTCTAAATCGAATGAGACTAGATTTAGAAAAAGTATGTGTATGTGTGTGAACAGATTTTTTGCCGTAAATCGACGTTTTCTCAAAAATGGCTGGACCGATTTCAAAAATTTAAAAGCCATTCGATGTATCTCGATGAGGGCTAGTGTTTTGTGCAATGATCGGCCGAGCCGTTTCTTTGTAAATCGCAGAAAAGTGAAAAAGTTTTCGTCGACGATTTAGCTCGCAATTCTGAATCGATTTTGAAAATTCATAAACCGCTCGAAAGATATTGGTTGGGAATCGAACTGATTAGTTTTTGGCAAAGATCGGCCGGGCCGTTTTCTCGTCATAAGGTGATAAAAAAAAAAATCGACGATTTTTATGAACTTTTTTTTGACGGTGGATATCATAGATAAAAGAAGATCATATTAGTGGATATCATATTCTTATAGATCATACTAAAATATTACGGTCCTACGACAAATCGTTTAATTTTTGCAGTACTAACAGAGAAAACAATGGGCTTTTGAATAACGCTAATAATAAAGTAATTAAACAAAACGCACTATCCGAAAACATTAATTGAAAAATTATTTTATCCTTTTTAGCTAATAATAAAGAATTATTTAGCATATATTAATATACATTATGTAGTCTAAGCCAATATGAGTAGAATCACGTTTTTTTTGTTACGCCAAAAATTGAGTTTGAAAAAGGGGCCACTTTGGCATATTTTCAATGATATCTCGGCCATAAGGTGAGATACAAAGTTGAAGTTTGGTATATCGCATGTTTTCAAAATGACCTTCAAAATGGCGTATAAATTATTCAAATACAAGGGTGTTAGTTGATTATGTATGGCAATGCACCCACACCCTTGCGCGTCGTGACAATTATGTACTCGACTGGCAGACCCTTGCAACCGTCAGAATGGGCTGGCTTTTTACATATGCTTTCTGAACAGTTAAAAGAATAGAAGGGATGTTGACGCAATCGCGGAATGACTGCCAGACTGGTACTTTCTTAATGGGTTGATAATAAAATATTATTAAAAAAAATTCTAGCTCTGAGAAAACAGGTTAGTCAAATAGTTTACTGGCCCTTATACTATTAGTTTTAAGTGAAAATCTACCGACCCGTTTTCTTGTAATTGACAGTTGTAAAAAAAATTTGAACCGATTTTTATGGAACTTTTTTTGGCAAAATGTATCATGGTCTTATAGAACTTACTGAAATATTAGGGCCTTACGACAAGTAGTTTAATTTTAAAAATTCATCAAATTTTGAGAAAATGAGTAGTATTTTTGACGTTTTGTTAATATTAAAATTAGACGATGTACTTGGTATAACGATAGAGTACTTGGTCTTAATGAACATACTAAACCATTGAAGTCCTATGAAAACTGGTTCAATTATAAAAATTATTGATTTTTGAAAATTTGCTTTTAGAAAATACTCCCAGTTAACGTGTTCGTTCGTTTTCAATTATGTGTAATAAATACACTCAGAATACTTTCAATCACTCATAAATTAATTTATTTTTTCATTGATTAAGTCGATTATTTACACACATCGGAAAGTTCATGTAACTTCCCTCAAAGCAAAATACCAATACCAAGTAGTTTCATTTTAAGTTTTGTTTTTTTTTTAAATAATTGTGGTTTAATTTTTTCCTGGTGTAATATTGTTTAAAAAAAATTGCTGAATGATGACACACATACCATGTCGAAACGTACTAAATAAATAGATCATTATTTATTACACATTTACTTCGACGATTGGCTGCAAATTAACATTTCAAGAATATGCCTCAATGTCATACAAAAAAAATCTAAATCTTGTATTTAATACATATATATATAACTAAATTAAATTATATATGTATATAATATACAATAGTATATAAAAATTATATTGACATTGATCTAAAATACTAATATAGAACTATTGACTAGATACTTTACTCACTTTACAAAACTCAAATGAATTGGCATAGGTTCATCATCAGGTTTGTAATGGATTTCAATGTACCATCACTAGCAAATGATATGCTTTGCGTAACCACACCATCGCTTGTCCAAGGCAAACATCGACAGTAAAATCTCTTGAGGTTGTAATGTCAGTGCACCAGGATATTCACTAATTCAGATGTCACCTGCTGATGAAGCACAGAATTTTCATCTGTCAAAAGAGTAACAGATGCGAAAGAAGGTAATCTAAAAA